TCCAGTAACTCTAGGTATCTAACCAAAGGAAATGAAAACACTAACTCAAAGATACCTGTGCCCTCATGTTCATTGCAGCATTTTTACAGTAGTCAAGACATGGAAACAATCCAAGTGCCCAATGAAGGATAAATGGATAAAAAAAATGTGGTGTGTATATGTCTAATATAAGTGTGTGTCTGCATATATATATGTATTTGAACTTTAAGTCACCTGCAAATAAGTACTATGGAGAAGTTTGTGAAATGAGACACCTCCTTCCACAATTCATTTCTTTTTATCTTTACACAAGAAGTGGAGAACTCAAGATTCTACTGTTGCAAAAGTTAAACAGGAAGTTCCCAGGCAGGAGCTCTGCTAAGAGGTGCAAGAGGGGCAAGTGTGCTGGAGGAGCTTAGAAGGGAAAAAGAAAGGCCAGGGGATTTCTGAGCTTTGGGTCAAGAGAGAAATAGTGGTTTCTCTGTCATCACAACTGCACAGCCAACCAATGTGATTTATTGGTGATTGTTAATGCCAATAGCTGGGGAGACAGAACAGTCTACAGATTGTAGAACAAATCTAAATACTTGTGGGCTATTTGTTGGATGTAAACAAGGTTATTTCATCACAATTTTGAAATTTGTGAGACACAAAGAACGTAAAGGTAACTTTTTGTACCCATGTCTGGTCACGTTCATAAGAAAAGTACTAGGGAAAAAAAAGAATCATATAGTTATAGCAATAACCTAAGAAAAATTCTGCTGTAATTACTTCTTTCTGCACAGGCAAAAATTTCTCACTGACAAGAATGTGAGTATGATGCTTTCCTGCGGACTATTACATGTTCTCTGGTATTTTCCACCACTCCCGTTTTGGGCACAAACTCCACATCTACTTGTATCTCTAAATCCAGCTGACTACTGGTGAGAGAAAGGTTGGAGAAACCGGGCAAGAGGTCAAATGGGCTCCCAACCCAATAAAAACTGAACCAACTCCCAGGTCCCTGAAGCACAGGGAACATTTGCGGGTATTTACAGTTGTGGAGATACAAAGGAAGTAGCTGCCCTGTGGGGTGTCTGGGTCAGACTGTTGTTTTCCATGACCTCTCTCTGAACAGTCCTAACAGTCTGCAATTTCAAAGCCAAACTAAAAGATAAAGCTTGCTAATGCAGGTTTGTTGTTTTTTTTTTTAAAGATTTTTAGCCCTGTGGATGTTATCTATAACTGTAATGCTTTACAGAACCTTACAACCTAGCAGATGGCCCTTAAACTCTCAGCCACAAAAGAAAGCTTTTTGAGGGGCCAGGAAATTCTACTCAGCACAATGCCAATAAATTGGGAATTAATGAGTGGAGAGTCTTCAGTTTCTGGATCCTCCATTCTTACAAGCTTAAGCTAATTCTCTCCAGGTCTATAACCTATAAAGAATCTCTCTTTGAAAAGGATTAACAATAAGAGGCTAAAAAAAAAAAATTCTCCTTAATTTTTCTGCCACCCAAAAGGTCAGCACCAGAGTTCAACTCCCTTCTAAGTCCTCATTCACTGAATGATGCCAATTCTTCCTCTGGGGAAGGCACAGAAAGTAGTTCACTTTCCAGAAAAGTAAGCAAACCACGTCTGATTCCCCTTAACTTGCTAAAATCCCCCTTATCCCCACACGCTGAGCAATCTTCCCACCAATTCCACCCCTCTCAGGTACCTTCTAAAACAAAGGGAATTCCTCCTTCCAGGAGATACTGTAGGCAAAGGGCAGGATTAGCAGCAGCCTCTGATCCTAGTCCCAGGGTTCCTTCTCTCCCCTTCCCTATTTCAGCCATTTTGACCATTCAGAATGTGTTTTTGCAGGAAGAGTAAGTATAGTTCAAGGTTTGAGGAAGCGGTACAGTACATCTGACAGAGGATGGTGGCAGGACAACATCGCGGGTTCATCCTGGGTGCAGGCAGTTTGGTGGTGTGGGCTCTGGAATCATGCTTGGGTTCAAATACAGACCCTCCTAAGGTGGCAGGACTCTGGGAAAGTTGCCTAACCATTCAGTGCCTCTGTATCCTATTTTTAATATATACATTCTATTTTATAGCAAATGCAAATGTTGCTGCCTACTTTAAAGGGTTGTTGTGAGAATCAAATAAGGATACAAATCTGGACAAAGTAAAAGCACTAAACAGTAAGCACCAACTTTGTTAGCTCTTATTAGTACTATGTATATTTTTAAAGAATAAGGTAATTCTATTATGTATTGACTTGGAATAAAGTCCAAGACAGTGTTTTTCTGAAAATGCCATAGAATTACATACTTAGTAAGAGCCTATCTTGAGAAGAAAAAAAAAATGATACATATTTATGAGTACATCCAAATAAGTCTCGAAAGGCACACACACCAAACACTACATTACAGTCTTTACCCCTAGGGAGTATGTGTGTGTGTGTTGGGGGGAGGGGGTGCTTCCATTTATATATGTACAGGTCTTTGCTTGAATTCACAAGTATGTACTGATGTAGGAAATGTTGGGGGCCAGAACTGATGGCCAATGAAGAATTCTTGAAACATACTGGGTGCAAAAAGGTGGTTTTATTAAAGCTGTATTGGGGTTGTGAGGTGTGGCGATTATATACTTTCAAGTTGGGAGGGGGTTAGTCAGAGTAAATCTCTAAAGAATGTTGGAAGCAAGGTTTCCAGGACCTTGAGGAGGGCTAGCTTTCATTAGATAAAAGTCATTTATTACTGTCTGATAAAACCTTAGTCATGAGAACCTTTAGATGTACATCAGGGGGCCATATGCTTGGGGGATGATTGCCAACGTAGATATTGGGGAGTAGAGATTAATAAAAATTTCTTTGGAAATTCCTTTAAGTTAAAGTAGACATACAGGATCCTGGGAGGCTGGCGTACGATTGCCTCTTGCCCTTAGGAAAGTGTTGGCATGGAGGCAGTTGAGTTTCTAGAGGAAGGTCACTCTGCCTGTTTCAAGGACTTAACAATGGGCTGTGGGCAGCAAGGACATTTTTTTCTTTTGCCTTTGTTTCCCTCATCATGTAGTACTTTTATAACTAATTTTTAAAATTAAACATTTTACAGTGGCCTTTGTAACCTTCAAGTTGAACATTTCCCATGTCGGGGTCTAGAAAAAGGTGAACTTCTTAGAGATAAGGAAATGGAGGCCCACCTAGGAGGAGATAGAGCCCCCGAGTCCCATCTATCCCAGCTACCGGTCTCATTTCAGATTCCTAAAGATTTTTTTTTTTTTTTTTTTTTTTTTTTTACAGTCCTTGGCACATCATGTGCCTGCCAAAGGATCCAAAAATTCTGAAACTGGTTGTTTTAGTCCTCTTTCCTTTTCTTCCTGTTCGAGGCCCTCCTTTTCTTGCACCCATGTAGCTTTCACACGTGTTTTAACATCCTCCTTCCTACTTCCCAGAACTTTCTATTTGTCCGCTTGTCATTCTGCCCCTCGGACAGGTGCCCCTGGCCTGGGAAGCCCACCCAGGTGACAACTAGCCAGGTCGTTCGGGGTTCTTTTGGCAGGCACAAGGGCCCCCACCTACACAATCAGAGTAGACCTCCGAGCTGTTTTTGCTTACAATGCGTCTAAATGGGCTTTTAAACAAAAACTGTTTTAACAGTTTCATCCAAGAACCGGTGCATGGTGTGTCTGGGCAGGCACTTCCTCCCCGCAGCGGCCTGCCGGTCTCCTGAAGTCCAGCTTCAACCTCGCACCCCGCGCCCCGCACCGGAGTCTCGGCCACGCGGGTCCTGCGGTTAATTCTCGCTGCCAAGCACCGGGCCTTCTCACGTGTTTTCTCCCCATTTTTCCCACGCCCGTCGCCCAGCCCCACTTAACTCGCGATCTCTATGAAAACCCACGGAGACGTGGTCAGAGGGGGAGAAGGGAAGGGAGAAGGGGGCGGGAGGGCCTGGGGAGCGCGCCCACCGGGCCGGGGGCCCGAACCCGCGCTCCGGGCAGCACGCGGGCCCCAGGGATCCGGGCCTCCAGGCCGGGTCAGCCTCGCGGCGCCGCGGCGTCCGGAGCGCGGATTGGCTCCCGGGCCGGCCAATCAGCGAGCGAGGCCGCTCAGGGCCGGGGGCGGGCCCAGACCCGCGGGCCGAGGGGCCGGAGGAGAACCGCCAGGTGTGCGGGGCGCGCGGCGGGCGTGCGCTGGGGCGGCCGCCGGGCGGTGCTCCAGCCCGATCTCGCGTCTCCCGAATCCCACCCTCAGAATGCCCCAGTTTGGTAACGCGGCGTAGGGCGAAAATTACCACCGACCCTACCATTCATAAGATGCTCCTTAATAGTCAATGGAGGAGTAGCGGGGGGGGGGTGTTAAAATCCTCCCTCCGTCCCCCCATTCCACCCCAGGTCGTCAACCCAACCGAGTCACTTCTTGAAACAGTAAATCACTCCAACGCTCGCTTAATCGCCAAAGCTGATTACCAAAATGCTGCCGTTAGAGCCCTGAAATAGGTTCCCCGTCCCCGGGGGCCGGGGGGTTAGAGTACGGCGCCTGCGGAGCGCGCAGGGGTTGCTCCCCGCCCAGGGGGACGCCAGCCGGCCGAGGCTGAGTTAGGGACCCCGCGCCCTTCTGAAAGGTGCGGACGCGCCCTCCGCCCCCCGCCCAGCCCCAAGCGCCGCGACGGCTCCTCCCGGCTCTACCCCGCAAACTTCACGCGGAGGCGCAGATGCTGGGGGTGGGGGTGGGGGCGGGGGCGGGCGCGGGGACCAGAGTCGCCGCCGCGCTCCGAACTTCGGCCGGGCTGTCCTACGCACTTTCCTCCCAGCGGCACAGCCCCGGGGCCCGCGGACCGCTGCGGCCCCGGCGTTCCCACGGTCGGCCCGAGCCGCCGCGTCCTTGGGGCTGGGGGCAGGGCCGGGGGCAAGGAGCGGAGCCGCCCGGGTGCGAAACGAGGCCCCCGCCGCGGCCTGGGCGCCGGCAGCCCCCGGGGGGCCCCGGGGCCGGGCGGGGGCGGGGGGCCGGGGGGCTGCAGCCGCGCGGGGAGGGCCGCCGCCGGGGTCGCCGCACTCACTCTGCGTAGCCGGTGGCCCAGGGCAGCCGCCGGGTCTCCTTGAGGATGAGGATGGGGCGGGCGATGTGGTCGGCGCTGCACTCCACCTCGTCCTGAGACAGCCCCAGGAACTCCGGCCGCCCGTAGGGGAAGCGCAGCGGCAGGTCCGAGCCGCCGCCGCCGCCGTGCTCGGAGCCCGAGCTGCCAGCCATGATGCCGCCCATGAAATTGGCCACGGCGGACTTCACCCGAGTGAGCATATTACTCCGGCGCCCGGCGGCGGCGCGTGCGAGCGGGAGGCGGCGGCGGGGCCCGACGAGGCGCAGCGCGGGGCATGCAGGCTGCGGCGGCCGCTGGGGCGCGGCGCCCGGAGCTAGTGCCGCAGGGGCCCGGGCCGCGGCCTCCCGCGCTCCGAGCCGCCGCCGCCGCCGCCGCCCCCCGCCGCACTTCCGCCGCCGAGCGGCATGGAGCGGCCCGGCCGGGCCGGGGGGACGCGCCGCGCGCTCCGGGAGCCGCTGGGCGACCGCGGCGGCCGCAGGGCCCTCCCCCGCCCCCCGCGCTCGGCTCCCGCGCGAGCGGAACTGAGCCCGCCCGGCGAGCGGCGCTGCTGCTGCTGCCGCTGCCGCCGCCGCCGCCGCCGTCCAGTCATGTGACCAGCGGGCCGCCGGGGCTCGGAAGGCCGGGGCGGCCCCTCCCCTGCCGGCCCGCGGCGCTCGCCTCCCACGCGGGCCGCGACCTCGGGGGCGCCGCGGGGCGGGGCCGCGCACAGGTGCGGCGGGGGTCGCGCGGGGCCACGCACAGGGGCACCGGGGGTCACGCGGGGCCGCGCACAGGTGCACCGGGGGTCTCGCGGGGCCGCGCACAGGTGCGGCGAGGGTCGCGCGGGGCTGCGCACAGGTGCACCGGGGGTCACAGGGAGCCGCGCACAGGTGCGGTGGGGGTCGCGCGGGGCCGCGCACAGGTGCGGCGGGGGTCACGCGGGGCCGCGCACAGGTGCGGCTGGGGGGCACATGGGGCCGCGCACAGGTGCAGCGGGGGTCATGCGGGGCCGCGCACAGGTGCAGCGGGGGGTTGCGGGGGGGCCGCGCACAGGTGCGGCGGGGGTCGCGCGGGGCCGCGCCCGCCGGAGAGCCCACGCACGCGCACCGGCCTCGGCCCTCGCGGGACGGAAACTCCGCGAGCGCGAGGGGAAAGGCGGAGACAGGTGGACTCCGGGAAGGAAGGCGGTGGAAGTGAGAAACACACCTGGCGTGACTTTCCGAAGCTTCCACTAAACGACAAAAAGCCCACCGGGGCTACGGGGAAATTATTAACAGCTGTTTCCCTGGGCATTTCTAGAATTACTCTTTCAACTTTTCTTACCGCCACACGCACCATTATCTGCGGAGCCAGCCCCGTTTCGAACCCAGGATACGCTTCCAAAGGTCTCTAAGAGTGCTCGCTTCGGCAGCACATATGCAGAAGTTCTCTAAGGAAAAAGAAAAGGTCTCTAAGAAATCCGTTGCAAGCCCTGTTGTACCTAGAACTTAACTGTGTAATAAATGTGCACAAACATGTTGCTCCAGCATAGCAACAAAAGTATCTTTGCAAAGCTGACCCTGTTTACTACTGAGACGCTTAATGTAGGTTATTTTCTTAAACAGAAAAATGTAAAAAAATGTCTGAAAGGCCAACTGATGAAATGTGTTTCATCAGGGGTAACATTTGTTAAATATTGGCTTAGTTTTTTTTTTTTTTCAAGAAAGCTGTATCCTGTTCCCGTGTTTACCTACCATTTAATTTGCCAGGATTCTGTGTTACTGGTGGAGTTACACACACTGACCGGCTCACTCAGAGTTCGGGAGGGAATACAGGCCTTCATTCTTCTGAGTGTGAAGTGGGGAGGAGGGGCCCAGGTGTTTGGGGGGGAACCTAATCCTCTGAAGAGGCACTGGAATTTTTGCTCTTAGGTGAGGCCTGGGTAAACCTCACTGACCCCCCTATTTAATATCTGTAATATTTTTTAAGGCACGTTCCCCTTTGGCTTTTCCATAAATAGGTTATCCGGTTTATAGTAAATAATTATGTAAAAAAAAACAACTTGGAAATGTTCAGTGAGATACTCTTCCTGTTAATAGGTGTTTATTACTTTTCACAGAACAGAAAAATAATTTGATCTTGGACCCCTTTCTCTAATTTTAAAATTGGGGGCAGGATTCTAAATAATGCAAAATCTAAATGAACAACAAAGGGCTTCTCAAACCCCCACTCTGTTAAACTATAAACTTCTAAATGGAAAAATCTAGGTAGTGGCTAAATAACCAACCACATACTCGGGCACCCACTGAGTCCCACATAAACTTAGAATCACTTTCTCAAGCTTTTGTCATAAAACAATTAACCTTTATCAATGTCTTTGGATATATCAGTAACCGCTATTGAGACTAATTTACTGTGTTCTGACCTTCATTGCACTTACAGCAAGCCTTACTATTTACTAAATATAGGATTTTAGGGCAGCCCAGGTGGCTCAGCAATTTAGCGCTGCCTTCAGCCCAGGGCCTGATCCTGGAGACCCGGGATCAAGTCCAGCATCAGGCTTCCTGCATGGAGCCTGTTTCTCCCTCTGCCTGTGTCTCTGCCTCTCTCTCTCTTTGTCTCTCATGAATAAATAAATAAATATTTTAAATTTTTTCCTAATTCTCAGTTTAGAGTAAGACCTGATCATAGTCAATAAAAAAATCCAATAGTACAGAACTATAAATGAAAAACTAAAAGACGCTAAAAATTTCCCCAGGGGATCACTACTGTTAATATTTTCCCTGTGTTTCCAAAACTTTTCTCAAATAGGATATATGGCATGATTGAATTTGATAATATTAGCCAGATTTGTGAACCAAAGTTTTGTAGAGAATTCTTGTTTCTCTATCACCTGAGTATTGTCTGTCTTGGGAATGTGTTGATATATCTTTAGCTTTGCAAGGCTAGTTCTGCAAAAACACCTGTTCTCCTTTGAATATTTCTTTAAAAAAAAAGATTTGATTTATTCATGAGACAAAGAGAGGCAGAGACATAGGCAGAGGGAGAAGCAGGCTCCCTGTAGGGACTTGATCCCAGGACCCTGAATATTTTTTTTCTCTGAATATTTTTATAGTGTAAGAGTTCATCACTAATAAATCTGTCTTTATACCTACCTCTAAGACCAGTGTCACATCACAGGATTTTCCAGAGAAATATTTTCCTCTTAATTTAGGGCAGCCCCAGGAAAAAAAAAATGCCTTTTGTACCTATTACAAATGCAAATTTGGGAGTATCTGTGCTCCCAGCTTTAGATTAGTGATTGCCTGAATTCAAGTGATGTTGTAAACAGGAATTGAGAGACCCTCAATGATACACACTATATGTACGTCCCAATCATCAATAGATATGCTTCACTTGTCTCTTTCATAGTTTCTTTCCCCCTGGAAAATGTGGGTTTGAAGACTTTAACAGAACATTCATTTAGGGGATAGATACATGGACCTTATACTTGGTTGCTCTTCATATAAATACAGTCTCATTTCTAAGCCTCTAATTCCATGGCTTTGACCACACAATGATTGTGCCATCAATAAGACTGTTTTCAAGGAAAAAAAAAATCTGGATAATTTCTTCAATGAAAACATCACAGGTTCCTTAAATATTTAATTACAAAAGGAAAAACAACACCTTACAGTAGAATAACCTGGCGGACATCATGTAAAACAAGTGGTCCAAGTTAATATCACCAATAGTGAGAACTATTAATGACCTGTACCTGCTGTCAGCATGCAATGAAAAGGGCACATCCCTTATGTGGTATGCTTCCCCAAATCCTTCACCTCATTATGTATCTTCAAAAGTTGTCAAGGTCCTAAAGAAAAAAACAAAAACAAAAAAACAAAACAAAAAACAAAAAAACAGGAAAGACTGAGAAACCATCAGACTACAGACAAAGGAGACACACCACTACAGTTCTGTGACAGTGTGAATTTCTTAGTTTTGATGTCAACATTAGGGGAGGCTGGGTAAGGGGTCTGCAGGAACAAAAAAAAAAATTTTTTTAATCATTTTTATTCAAGTAGAAAGCAAACACTTTGGAAGTCAGGCCAGATGAAGGATGAATCCTGCCTTTCCAGGACTATCTCTCACAGCTGTAGAATCATGCCTCCCTCATGGTGCTAATCTCCTTGTGTTGTAATTGGCAGTTTACCGATGTCTTCTCATGAGGAAGTGAAGGCCTGTAGTACAAGAACATTCTTATTATCTTTATATTTCCAGTACCTGGCCTAATGCCTAACAAGTGCTAGGGTTCGGTTGGTAAATTGTCTGAAAATCCCTGATGTCTTATTTTTTCATTAAATGAAAACATTTTATTTCTTTTAATATTTTATTTTTTAAGATTTTTAAATTTATTTATTCATGACAGACACACACAGAGAGAGAGGCAGAGACACAGGGAGAGGGAGAAGCAGGCTCCATGCAGGGAGCCCGATGCAGGATTTGATCCCCGGACCCCAGGATCATGCCCTGGGCTGAAGGCAGGCACTAAACTGCTGAGCCATTCAGGGATCCCTGAGACTATTTATTTATAAATAACAATTTCCTTAGGAACCAAGAAATTTATAGCTGATCTTTGAGTACAGAATGATAAAGCATTTGCAGTTTTTACATCCATCAAATCCAGAAGTTCCCTAGATTACAACCATCTGTTTTCAGAACATGTGGTACAACCAACGGATTACACCTGACCTTTCTTATTACTTTCCCATCGACCCCCTTCTATAGGCTATTCTATCCCTTGACCATATTATCCTACACTGAAACCGTTTCTTTGTAAGGGCCACCAATATTGTATCAACCTGTGTCTCTTCCACATGAGTCTTCAATCCGTATTGCCTACTATAGATTAGACTCTGAAATGTGCTGATTATCAGAATACTTATAAAATTGAAAAAATAGTCACTCCAATCTCATGGAGTAGCTGCAAGGATCAGTGAGATAATAGTTGTAAATATGATACAGTTAATTCCAGGGTTATCACCCTCCTCTAGTTAAATGTATTTTTTTTTCCTTAGGTACTAGTTTTTAATATTAAAAATGTAAACCTTTTGCCTTTTCTTTTTCCTACTTACAACAATGAAAATAGCTATACCTACCTCCTAGGATTATTTTGATGATTAAATGGAATAATAGGAAACCTGCTAGAGTTCTTCCCGGTAATGAATGGGTGGTTAATAAAAGCATAGTAAGTGGTGTACTAGTCTCCTTCATCTGCAGCTTTGCTCTCTGTGGCTTAATTACCCCACAGTCAACACTGGTCTAGAAGCAAATGATCCTCCTTCTGACGAATCTTAAGGTCAGTAGCAGCCCAATGCAGTGTCACAAC